CTTCAAATAGAGATAATTTCAATATTTTCTTTAATTTGAATGCTTTTTTTTCTTTTTTAATTGCTCTGGCTAGTACTGTCAGTACTACCTTGAACAGAAGTATTGAAAATGGACATCCTTGTCTTGTTCCTGATCTTAGGGAGAAAGTTTTCAGTTCTTCATCATTGAGTATAATGTTGGCTATGGGTTTTTTATATATGATCTTTATTATGTTGAGAAAATTCCCTTTTATTCCTAGTTCACTGAGCATTTTTATCATGAAAGCATCGTGTCAAGTGTTTTATCTGCATCAATGGAGGTGATTTTTCCCCCTTTCATTCTATAAATGTTATGTATTACATTGATTGATTTTTGCATGATGAATCATCTTTGCATTCCTGGAATAAATCCCACCTGGTCATAGGGTATCATCCTTTTAATATGCTACTGAATTCAGTTTGCTGGTATTTTGTTGAGAATGTGTGCATCTATATTCATAAAGGATATTGGCCTGCAGTTTTTTTCTTGCAGTGCCATTCTGGCTTTATTATCAGGTTAATTATGGTCTTATAGAAATAGGAAGTGCTTCCTCCTCCTCAATGTTTAGGAATAGTTAGTATTAATTCTTCTCTAAATGTTTGCTATAGTCCATCAGTGAAGCCCTCTGGTCCTGAACTTTTCATTGTTGAGAGGTTTTTGATCATTGAATCAATCTCCTTACTTGTTATAGATCTAGTTGGCCTTTCGATTTCTTTTTGAGTCAGTTTGATAGTTTGTGTGCTGTGAAAAATTTGTAAATTTCATCTAGATTATCAAATTTGTTGCTTACAGTTCTCTTAGAATCCTTTTTATTTCTATAAAATCAGTAGTAATGCCCCCAGTTCATTTGAGATCTTTAGTCTTCTGCCTTTTTTTCTTAGTTAATCTAGCAAAGGTTTGTCCATTTTGTTGATATTTTCACTGAACTAGCTTTTGATTTTGTTGATTTATTTTTACTTTTATATTCTCTATATCATTTATCTATACATTAATCTTTATTATTACCTCCTTCTGCTAGATTTGGGTTTAGTTTCCTCTCTCCATTTTTAGTTCCTTAATGTGGATTGTACTGAAAGATTTAAAGAGACATCTTTTTTATTTTGACATCTAAGGAAATCTCTGTTAGATCACTGGCTGAATGCAAAGATTAAAAAAAAACAGAAACTTCAGTGACTACACATAACAAGGAATACAGAATCTGCAAAAAGAGATTGAGAAAAATCACTAAACAAATGGACTATTGTAGCCTCATAACTAAAAACTAGCAATTTGTGAGGCTAGGGAGAATCTGATTTTCAGAGTTACCACATTATAATACTCAAAATGTCTAGTGTTCAACACAAAATTACAAAACACACAAAAAGACAGAAAAGTATGTCTTATTCACAGGGGGAAAAGAGATAACTTTATAGAAATAATCTCTGAAGCTGTTCAGATATTAGAATCACAAAAATGTTACATCAACTTTAAATTTGTTCAACAAGCTGAAGGAAAATATGGATGTAGAGCTAAAGAAGATCAGGAAAACAAGGTATGAACACAGGGGTAACACCAATTAAGATATATCAATTACACAAAGGAATCAAGTAGAAAATATTAAGCTGAAAAGCACAATAGATGAAACAAAAATTCATGAGAGAGGTTTGATGTTAGATTTGTGCATGTAGAAGAAAAGATCAGGGAACTTGAAGACAAGACAATTGAAATTGTCCACTCTGGACCGGGTGTGGTGGATCATGCCTGAAATCCCAACACTTGGGGAGGTGAAGGTGAGAGGATTACCTGAACTCAGGGATTCAAGACCAGCCTGGGCAACTTGGCAAGACCTTGTCTCTACAATAAATAAAAGAACTAGCCAGGCATGGTGGTCCTCTTAAATCATATAGGAAGGTTACTTGGAAGCTACTTGGAAGGCTGAGGTGAAAGAATCACCTGAACCCACCAGGTCTAGTTTGTGGTAGCTGTGAGTGTGCTACTGCACTGCAGCCTGGGTAACAGAGTAAGACTTCAACTCAAAAACAAAATAACAAAAATTATTCACTCTGAAGAGCAGAAAGAAAGAAGAATGAAGATAAATGAAATAACCTGAGGAACCTGTGGGACACCATCAAGCATACCAATATGCACAGTATGGGAATCCTAAAAGGAAAAGAGAGAAAAAGAAAGAAAAATACTTGAAGGAATAATATCCCCAAACTCCCTCAAATTTGATAAAATACATGATCTAGATATCTAAGAATCTCAACAAACTCCAGTCAAGGCAAACTCAAAGAGATCCACATCAGGAAACAAGGTTGTCAAATTGTCAAAAGATAAAGCAAAAAAACCAAAAAAGCAGCAAGAGAGAAGCAACTGGTCACATACAAGGGATCCTCAATAAGATTTTCAGCAGATTTCTCATCAGAAGCTTTGGAGACCAGAAGGCTGTGGTATGACATATTTAAAGTCCTGAAATAGAAAACAAACACACCTGTCAACTCAGAATTCTATATCCAGTAAAAACTATTATTCAAAAATAAAGGAGAAAACTAAGATATTTTCAGATAAATAAAGACTCAGGAGTTCATTATTAGTTCTCTAACCTACTAGAAACATTAAAGGAAGTCCTTCAGGCTGAAATAAAAGGACATTAGGCAGTGACTCTAAGCCATATGAAGAAATAAAGAACACTAGTAAAAGTTACTACATAGAAAAATATAACATTCAGTATTAATGTAGTTGTGGTTTATATAACTCCCATTTTTCCCTATATGATTTAAAAGACAGATTTATAAAATAATAATTATAAATTTATGTTAATGGGCACAGAGTATATAAAGGTGTATATATGACAATTACAATGGGGAAAGAATGGAGATGTATAGGAGCAGAGTGTTTATATACTATTGGAACTAAGTTGGCATTATTTCCAACTAGATTTTTACAAGTTTTAGATTTTAATTGTAATAACCAGAGTAACAACTAAGAAGATAATGAAACATATATAGAAAAGGAAAGAAGAGAATAAAATTGGCATATTATAAAAAATAGGCCAGGCATGATGGCTTACGTCTATAATCCCAGCACTTTGGGAGGCTGAGGTGTGAGGATTGCCTGAACTCATGGGTTCAAGACCAGCCTGGGCAACTTGGTGAGACCTCATTTATACAATAAATAAATAAAAAATTAGCTGGGTGATGGCGCATGCTTGTAGGTCCAGCTACTTGGAAGACTGAGGTGGAAGGATCACCTGAGCCCAGCAGGTCAAGGCTGCGGTGGCCATGAGTGTGCCACTGTACTCCAGCCTGGGCGACGGAGTGAGACTCCAACTCAAGATGATAATAATAATAATAATGATAATAATAATAATAATCTACATACCAAACAAGGCAGTAGTAGAGGAATTGAGGGGAAAAAAAAGACATAGAAAACAAATGGTTAAATGGCATAAGTAAGTCTTTCCCTCCTAACAATTACTTTAAATGTAAATGGATTAAACTCTCCGATTAAAAAGCAGACATTAACAGCACGCATACAAAAGACATGATCCATATACATGCTGTGGAGAAGAGACTCATTTTAAATACGAAGACACACAGAGGTTGAAAATAAAATAATAGAATAAGACATTGCATGCAAACAGTGACCAACAGCAAGTTGAGATGGCTATATTATTGTCAGACAAAATAGGCTTTATGCCAAGTGCTCTTGAAAACAAGTTATCATTTGTCTTGAGAGCATTTATGCAATGGGTTGTACCTGCCAATGGGTGAGATTTATTTCTGTCTTTGCAATCTGTAGAGCAGGTTGCCTGTGGTGCTCATTGCAGGCTAGTTTAGTGCTTACTCAGTAATACAATTTTTAATTCTTTTCTACAATTGTGAAAGGACACACTGGCATGGCAGGAAATTTTATTTTTAATTGTTGGTCTCTTTTTTTTTTGAGTTGGAGTCTCACTCTGTCACCCAGACTGGAGTGCGGTGGCCGCTGCCGGCCACCGCAGCCTCGACCTGCTGGGCTCCGGCGATCCTTCCACCTCAGCCTTCCAAGTAGCTGGAATTACAGGCATGCACTACCACGCCCGGCTGATTTTCTGATTTATTAGAGATGAGGTCTTGTTGCCCAGGCGGGTGTTGAACCTGCGGGCTCAGGCAATCCACTCACCTCAGCCTCCCAAAGGCGCGGTCCGTGTCCACTAACTCTCTTATTTCTTTCACATCTTTGCATAAATATCACCTTCTTGAGACCCACCCTGCTACTCTACCCCCATCTCCTTCTTTATCTAGCTGTGCTTTTTCTTTCTGAATGACCCTTCTTATGTCCTAAATAATTTACTCACTTAAAAATGTTTATGTCTCTCTCCTCTTCCCTAAGAAGGGATCTGTGTCTGTTTTGTTCAATGAGGGAGGGAGTATACATAAGTGGTGGGAAATGAACGAATGTCTCACAGGCAGCTCAAACTTGTCATGTCCAAACATTAGCTCCTTAGCTTCCCCCAGACCTGGTGTGCTGAGTCCCACATCTCAGAGGATGGAGCTTTGCCCTCAAGTCTCTAAGGCCAAAGCATTGGTCTCTCTTACACTTACGTGCTGGGACACCCCATGGCCTCACCCTCCACATTTCTCCCAGCCTGCCTGCTACCGCCTGCTGTCCCCGGCTGTTCCTTTGTGAGGCAGTCAGGGATCCTGTTAGAAGCAGGCAATTCGAAGGCCCTGCCTCTGCCCTTTCTGTTCACGTGTCACTGCGTCTGAGGCTTCCTGGGTCCCCCTATTTTGAATTTTACCCCCCATTCACTATTTGCTCTCCTGTCCGTGTTCTTCACACCCATACTGGCATTGGACATTCCATATCATTTACTTATTTAGCATGTTTGTTGTTTTTCTCCCCCACACAGAGGTCTGCTCCAGATAAAATAACCCATGATCCCAGTTTGCTTGGGCGTCCTGGTTTTAGCACTGAGAATTCTGACTCAGGAAACCCCTCAGTGCTGGGTACACTCTGACTTGCTCCCCCAGCTGCAGGGCCCAGGGATGTGACTGGCTGTTTGTTCCCGGTGTTGGGTCAGTGCCCAGGGGCCGGTGGATTTGTAGAATGTGCCTGCTGAATGAGTGAATGAGGCACATTGATGTCCAAATTTCATCCAGGTTAAACTGTGGGTCCAGAGGAGAGCTGAGGCTGTCTGCTGGGGAAAGTCTGGGGACTTTGCTACCTCCCTTAGTTCATCCTCCCATTCTGCAACCCAGATTCCTCAGTATTCTCCTGGGAAGGTGTAGCCTGAGGTAGGGGAAGAGGGGGCAGTGTCACTGGCCAAGGCAGGAGGTCTGTGGGACCCTGGGTATGGGGATAGGGTGGTGGATCTGGCTTAGAATTGGCACTGAGTGCCACCACCACTTGGTAGCAGCACATATGTGTCTTCCAGCAGGTGCCTCTCTTGTCTCAGAGTGATGGTAGGGCAGCTGGGATCTGAACATAACCTTTGTTTTGGCCTCAGTTTCCCCCATCTATGGGAGGGCCGGGGCTATGATGAAGGCATGAGGGAGTCAGCAGTTGTCAGTTAGAAGCTCAGCCCCACGACACCCCTCCTGCAAAGTCTCCCCACTCCCTGCCTCCAAGGTAGCAAGGATTCCTGGAATAGCCCTGGGTCAAGGGGTCTCTGTGCATTGCCAGGAGTGCCCTTGGCTGGTCCAGGAGTTAAGAGGAGGAACTTGGGACAGAGGCTGTCCAGCTGATCCGGGACACTTGCCTCCCATCTGGGTGGACAGGGTCTCCAGGGGAGACATGGTGAGGGCAGAGCTGTAGCCTATCAACCCCGAGACCCTGATCTCCAGGTTAGGGAGGGGATACCTGGAGCATGTTCTCTGTCTGCATTCCCCTCTGGCCTCTGTGCCCCTGGTCCCCCAAACATGGCCTTTCAAGCTTCTCATCTGACCTGGCTTCTGTGCCCCTGGGGTGCCCCATCTATGGCTCCTTTATGGAAAGACTTGGACAGAAATGTTTAGTCATACTATGTAATGTCAACTGCAGCTGACCAGAAGTCTACTCCTGGGGACCTGTCCCTCCCTAGCTGAGTCCCAAGGGCATCCCAACCCCAGGGAAGGCTCTGACCCATCCCCACACACCCCACACTCTCACAGGGGTGGGCATAAGGGGTGTTGGCATCCCCAGCCTTTGGGATGTTCTCAGGTCCAGCCTGGTAGGGGTACTCCATTGCTTCCATGGTCTAGCTTTGTCCCGGACACTGTCACCACCCAGTCCTTGTCCTTCCCCCAGGCCTGGGCTCTATTTTAATAGGTACACTTGGGGCCGATAATATTCCCCCCACCCTCCCCAAAAGGCCACCTTGCCCCACAGATCAGAACCTCTGTCTTTAGGGTAGAGGCAACCAGATGTTTACTGAGTGAAGGGGGGCTTGCCGGCTCTGCAACACCCCAATCTGCCAGTGGCAGCAGCCCCCGTTGCAGGAGAGAAAAGACGACTCAATGGCCCTGGCTGGCTGAAGGAGGGCAGTCAGAGTGGGAGTGCATTTGCAGACTGAGCACGACTACTGTTGGGGCCAGGCCTGGGACATGTGTCCCTGCACATGTCCCTCAGATGATGACCAGACTCCAGAGGGCAGGGGGAGCCAGGTAGTCCTTGTGAACCATAGGAGAGTTCTGTGAGGGCAGACCCCACAGGCACTGCAGGGCCCAGCACCTCACCCACCTCCCTTCCCTCTCCAGTGGGCCTGGCACCTGCCCACTGTACTTCTTCCATCTGACTGGGCACTTTGCTGGCCCAGTACTCTGTTGTCCTACCTCCCTGACTAAGAAGTGTCAACACAGAGCCCAGGGTCACTCTGTGGCCCTTCAGCATGGATGGTACTTGGTGGCCTCAATAAATGTGAAATGCGTGAGAATGGCACGTCCCAGCAGATGGCCTCTGCGCAGGTGGCCCCTGAGACTACGAAAGTGACCAAACCACGCTGGGTGGGTGGAGCTGAGCTTGGGCGACTGAGACCCTCTAAGAGGGAACCAGGTGGGGTGGGTGCCCAGGTGGCACTCAGTACCCAAGGGTGGAGGGAGAAGTAGACTCTAGCCAGCATGGGAGTGCTCTGGACAGAAGCTAGGGTCGTCTTCGACCACCTTGGGCCTGGTCAGTTTTGGAAAGAGTGGGGTCACATCCTGTACAAGATCACTGGGGAAGCTCTGGGCAACTGCAGGGGCAGGAGGCCACTGCCTGGTCTTCAGGGTCAGGAACAGTGACCGTGAGTTGTCCACGAGGGAGGCTGGGACCCAGCTGAGGCAGGGAAGGTCAGCCTCTGAGCTCTCTGGAAAAGAGGGCAGCCCACCCAGATTCTACCTGTCCTCAAGGGGCTCAGGAAAGGGTTGATGGTTGGTCCTTCATGTAACTTGAAGCACTTGGCTCAGCCCCTAAGGACTCCCTTGGAGCTGCAGGACTCTGGAGAACTGGAAGATGCCTGGGCCCTGCAGCCTGTGGTCAGGTAAGACAATCCTCACATTCTGAGGGGGCGGGGGGGGGAGGAGGGTGGGGAGAGTCTGGCCTTATCTGCCAGAAGCTGTGGGTTGGTCTCCTGTCCCCACCCCAGCAGTGTGGCCCCGACACCTACTTGTTTGTGATGAGCCACCTGGTCTCAGGCTGCTGTCTCATGGGTGGCAGCTGGGGAGAGACATGGGGGTGGTGCTGGCTCAGGTTGTCTAGCTCAAACCTCATCTGAGGCATAGCCCCTCCCCACCTTCTCCCTATTGTGTTGGGGGGATGGGACTACAGGGAGAGAGCTGCAGACCCCAGTTGCTCAGGGCTCACTAGGCGGGCCTTCCTGGGGTACCCAGTCCTGGGGAGCCAGTGCTAGTAGGCAGCTGGCAGGTGTCCAGTCTCCAGGGAGGTTCATCAGGGCCAGTGAAGGAGGACCCCAAGAGCAGTAGGGTGCCCCCCAAGATGTCTCCCACTTGAGTCCCTCCCACTGTCTGTCCCAAGGCCTGTCCCTGGGATTTGCCCAGCAAGGCACTGGAACTACAGCAGTGGCTGGAGCCAGCCTTTGGGATCACCAGACCAGCCACCTGACCCCTTTGGCTTGTGACCTGCTGGAGGTGACCTTTGCTGGGGAGCAGGACTCAAGCTTGGCCAAAAAGCCTTGCTAGGGATCGGGAGAGATAAAGGTCTGAGGGTCCCTCCATAGGCCCTGGGCTGTCCTTGTGGGTAGGAGGCTGTGGGCTGCTCTGAAATTGCTGTGACTCAGCAGAGCTGAGGAGACATTACTGAGACCCCTGCCTGGCCCACCTGTGCTTCTTGGGAAGGGTATTGAGAGGCCCTGGGTGCCCAGAAGCTGGTCTCATCTGCCTCCTCCTACCTCTCCTATTTCATGACTCTTGCAGTCCCCCTCCATCCCAAAACCAGGCAAACTTTGGAGCTCACACATTCAGGAGCTGGTAGGGGTGCCAGCTCTGAGTCTTCTTGGACTCCAAGGCAGAGGCTACACCCAGTACCCACACACTCTGTCCACTGGGCAGAATCTTGTGAACCCTGGGTCCTGGAAGTCTGGGCCTCAGGGGCTGGGGGGACGGAGGGACATCCCAAGTAGTCGGAGAGTTGGAACCAGAGCCCTGGTCGGGAGATGTGGATGCCCAGGGAGGTGGAAGCCATGCCACTGACAGAAGGAGACCAGGGAAGGGCACTTGGGAGGCCCAGCAGTGTGTGAACAGAAGGGACTGTGAGGCCGCGGGGCAGCGGTAGGCTCAGGACTCCACCTTGGCTCAGAAGCTTGCTTGACTCCAAGAGGGGGCCCCTCTGTTCTCTTCTCCCCATCCTCAACAGCCTCCCCCCTCCCCCCTGTTTCCTGTTCAGTGCACACCACACCCAGCTCACAGTGGGAGGCAGGGAGTGCTGGGTCCAGTCTTCGACCTCCCGCAGCCCCTGAGTGTGGGGCACTGATTGCACTGGAGGTTGCACAGCTGCTGGGGGATGGAAAAGCGCACATCGGTCCTCCAGCCCTGCAGATACGAGGCAGCCCAGTCAACACAGCCTCTTGTAACCCCTACCTGTACCCAACCTCCCAGAGGAATGGCCTGGAGAGGCTGCTCACTTGGGGAGGTAGGCGCTCCTCCTCCCTTAGAGGCTTATGGTTGGGGATGGGAAATAGGGGGTGGGCATGTGACCTGAAGTCTGGGAGTGGAGGTGGAAGTGGGACTGGGCTGGACAGCAACACTCACCTGGATGCAGATGCCTGGGGCACAGGCCTCCTCCCAGGGAATGTCCAGGAAGGTCATGGCAGGGTCTGCTGTGGGGTCACCCTGGGCGGGGGAAGAGGCAGACAGGGCTACACCATGTCCTTATCCTACACCCTCGTCCAGATGGGCAATAGAAGGTATCACAGAAAAGTGAGGGGGTTCAGCCACCCTCCTCTCCCCAGGATGGCGCCCCATCCTACCTGGCTCACTGAGGCTGGAGGGAGGCGGCTGGCCTGGAGCCCTGGTTGGCAGGTAGGGAGTGGAGACTTCCTTCTGTGACACAGGCGCACCTGGAAGTGGGCGGGACTGGACGAGAAGAAGGTGGCCCGGAGGTGGCCCTGCATGGGTGAAGGTTGGATGACCATCTTCCAGGCTGCAGGGGGTGAAGGGTGAGGCACACAACAAGCCCAGCACCTTGCCCACCTCGCTTCTTTCCCTAGTGGGCCTGGCACCCGCCGACCATACCGCTCCCATTCTACTGGGCCTGTCACTGACCGAGTACCCTGTTATCCTGCCTCCCTGACCAAGAGATGTCATATGGAGCCAAGGAGAAGGCGTTATTTGCTGCATTCATGCTGCACAGCCCCGAGGGCAGCTCACCTGGGAAGCGATGTTGTTCAAATGGACACCTCACCTGGAAACCCAGGCTGGTGGTGAACTGCAGAGGGGTGAGAGGTGCAGGTGTGGGGGAGTGAGTGCGGGGGTTGGGGACGGAGACAGGCTTCCCTCCCTGGGCTCTTAGCTCAACTTCAGGGCTTCCCTCCCTGGGCTCTAAGCTCAACCATTGAGATCAGGAGGGTGGTCTGAGGGACAGCTGGGAGGCTGGAGTCCAAGGCTAGGCAGGGCCCAGATCCCTGCCCCGATGCCCCCTGGCCCCTCCACCTACCTCCTTGTCTCCTCCCCCAGTTCCAGCAGTGCATGTGGCAGGCTCTCCCTTGCCGACTCACCTTAAGGCAAAGCTGAGGCTGTGTGTCCACCATTGGGTACCGCACCTGAGGACGGCTCAGGTCAGGGACATGACTATCCATGCCCACCCCCATCCCTGTTGGGTGGGCACTCACTCTGCCATGTGCCAGCTGGCGGGAGTGCTGCAGCTCACGGCAGCGGGCCTCAGGCCGTGGGCGCCAGCACAGGCTCACGTGGCCACTCACAGGGCAGGTGGGCTTCCAGCTCAGCGCCTGGCTTCCAGGATGGTAGTGGATGGTGTCCCACAGCGCCTCTGTGTCTACAGGGGCCCTCCCCAAAACACAGGTCAGCTGTGCCCTACCCTGGCTGCCAACAGGCTCACAGGGCCTAGCACTCACGGAGTGACTGTTGGGCCAGGGTCAGGAGTAGTTCTGTGGGTCTCTGAGCCCTGGCCCAAGTCTGTGGGTGAGTGTACATGTGCATGGGTGTGTGTGCATGGGGACACGTGCATGCATGTGTGTGCGTCTGCAGTGTTCCTGAGCAGAGCTCAGAGCAAGGTATTTCTCCTACTTCCTTCAGAGAGAGGTTCCTCTTAAATGACTTGTTTTTGTGAGGTGAACTGGGCCACCACATGTGCACGCTTGTATACTGCATGCACGTACACTTCGTGTACACACACGTGCACACCAACATCCATGAACAGGTTCTGTCACATGGAGGGGCTTGTCCTGGCCACACCCTTGGTGACAAGCCCTCCCTAACAAGCTCAGGGACTCTAGTTGGGCCTGCCCTTCATGTCTCACCCCCCGCTGCATGTCATCAGCCTCGAGCTGGGTCAGGCCACTATCCCCTGCTTCTCCGCCTCCGCATCACACTTACCGTCTTCAAAGGGGCAGATCTGTATCCTCACAGCGTCAGGTGTCGCAGACCAGACCTGCGCAGGAGGCTGAGGTCAGCGCGGCCCACCCGTCCCTCTGTCCCCTCCCCGAAGGAGAGGCCACATCCTC